TAGCTCAGTAATGAGATATTTTCCCCAACCCCTCTAAGGCACTGGTTAAAAATCTAGCTCAGACGAGTAGAGACTGAAATATGTTATCATTTGATGAGTTGATCTTAGTCCTGTTCTTAGTGATCACATGTTCACCTAAGCACAACTGGCATCTTAGCTAGCAGGAGAGCCAATCACTGAACTGTGCATGGAGCCTAATTTACCACCTCAGCATTGTGCTTGGTCAAGACTGAGACAGCAGACTGCAGGGACACTTGCCTCATCACTGCCTAGGTGCTAGACCTGTTCTAAATACAGCATTTGACTGGTTCTGTGATAGCATTATGGCATCCAGGGTACAATCCAGACCAGTGAGTGGCTGTGTCACCACTTGCCAAGCAATCTGGGGAGTCTCACATTGCTTTGCTGCTGTAACTCCCAACCTGGGCTCCTCACAAGCAGCCAAACAGCATGCAGGTCACACCCGGAGTATCTGTGTATAGTTACAGCCCTGGTCCTGCACCTCTGACCCCAGCTGCCTGTCACCAAACACTTGCCACGTTCTGGCTTCCACCAGCCTCGGTTACTACTTGCAGGGTGACCCCAACACACTCCGAGTCCTGGATTCCCCCCACCCCCGAGAATGTGTGTTCTTCATTGTCCAGCCCTCTCCTGGGCAGCCCAGATAAATCAAGTCTGTTGCCCCTCTAAGGGGATCAATATACAACAGGCTGCTACTTTAAATGGAGTTACCCAAACAATTTACAACACTGGGTTAGTTTTAATTAAAGAATAAAACAAGTTGATTTAACTACAGGGAGATATGTTTTAAGTGAGTACAAATATAAGGCACTAAAGTCAGAAATGGTTACAAGAGAGATAAGGATAAAAAGCTTTCTAAACTTAACAAAGTGGACTTGGTTCAAGGTGAAGTCATTTACCACAGGTTCCCAGTATCATTGCTGACCAAGTTTTAGATCAGGATCTGTTCTCAAAGTCAATAGGCTTTCTTTTGTCTTCTTAGGTGGAAAAGAGAGAGATGGATAGGGGGAGATAACTTGGGATGTTTTTGCCCCTCACTTTTATAGTTCAGTTCCCCTTTGAAATGCATTTTACTAGGGTCACTATTAGCTAAAGTTCATTCAAAAAGTAAACAAGGTGACATGGTGTCTGGGGGTAAAAGAGGATGCACGTTTTCTTCTCACCTCTGTTTGCTGAAATGTAGGTTTTCCTTGTCACCTGTCCTCTCCATCTGAGAACTCTGTTTACAATTTATATGTAAACTGAAGTAAACACACATTGCTTTGTTTAGAACCTGTTTGACCAATCCTACCTAATCGGGCTCTTTGGGTTTGAACATGTGCTATCAGCATCATTGAGAAGGAACTCGTAACTTTATATAATGTTGCTACACACATTTCATCATATTACTAATCAGTGAGTTATTAGTTTCAAATGCTACCTCACAAGGCATATTTTCTACAAAGATTATTACAATGGTGTGTAGGGTGTGAATACAGGGGTGCATTATCTCACAAACATCAATCCTACATAAATACTAAATTGTCTTTTATCTAAGCTTCAGCATTATATGAAGAAGAGTTTATATTGCACAAGTAGAACATGATTTCACTAACCTAATTAAGGAGGGATCAACAGTCCTTAATGAAAGCAAACACAAGAAGACAAAGTATCTTTTACTGTTAATCCTTTTATAAATAAACTTTATTGGGTGTGTAGGATTTGGCTCTGTAACAAACGAAACATTGGTTATAATACTTCTAATAGCAGAGACAGATTTAACATCTGAGGTTGGAACATCACGGTTTTGACAGAGTATCTATCTGTCAACACTTTTTTTATATTACTATTTGTACAGAGGTGGTATTATTTCTATTCCTTTGGACTCAGCTAGGTCAGTTAGATATAATCATTAACAAAATAGGTACAGATGATTAAGGTAGCAACATTCACACATTAGATTTTACATCTTATTTCTAGCTCCAAACTATAATCCTGTTCATTTCTGAGTGACCAGCACTTTCTAGGATTTATCCTACTAACCATAAACTAGCTTCAAATTCTCTCACAGTTCCTAATCACATGCTCTCCCAAATCATGTCTCTCTCTGTAGGTCTCCTGCTCCTATGCTTTGGATACCCGAAGTCAAGTCTTTCTGAAGCCCAGTTTCCTCAAAGTAACAAAGACTTTCCTGCAGCCTGTTGGTTTCTGTCTAGGTCTCATTGTCATTTCCAGGTCCATCAGTTTATCAGCCCAGGCTTTCTGGATTTCCTGCCCTATGTTCTCTCTTCACACTACAATCTAGCAGACATAGCTCTTCCTGCAGGAATCAAGTCACTTCTCTGAATTCTCCCTGAAGGCAATTATTGTCTTCCTCCCTTAGGAAATACCCCCACCCCAAGGAGTGGATAATACCTACAGCCCCTTTGTCTCAATATTCAGAGGGGTAGCTGTGTTTATCTGGATCTGTAAAAGTGGCAAAGAGTCCTGTGGCACCTTACAGACTAACAGATGTATTGGAGCATGCGCTTTCGTGGGTGAATACCCACTTCGTCAGATGCATCGGTCCATGTGCCTCTTCCCAGGTCAGGGCCTGAATCCACGGCTTAATCCACTACTAGGGAGAGCACAATCAAATCAATTGTGTTGCTCTAAATTAAACTGGGTCACCCTGGATTTACAATGTTCTGATCAGAATCTGGCCCAAAGAAGTGACTGGTATAAATCAGTGGAGAGTTTGGCTCCTGCTTAGACAAGGACAGGAAAAATCAACGTTAGAGGAAGATCACCCCATCATAGTGAAGCAGAAAGAATGTATGCATGGTGGGGAGGGTAAAAGAGAGTGGGGCTGCAAAACTGATAAAATAAATCATCATATTATACAAAAATATACATTAAATACAATGAAGGAGAATATGTACACAGCCCCCATCCTGAAGTTTTACAGCCATGCAGCAGTATTTTTCTCATGACATGAAAACAACAGCCACTCAAACAACCTTAGGCTGCAATATAACCTTCTCTCAGATTCTTTCTGCCTGAGAGACACTATTGAGTGAAACAAGCAGTGGAACATTTTCCCACTGGCTGCACTGAGGTAACACGAGGACAAGCTCTCTGATTATTTTGAATATTAGTGAAGCGGTTCCCAGTGAGCAACTGTGGGGTGAATAGAAAAGGAGTACTTGTGGCACCTTAGAGACTAACCAATTTATTTGAGCATGAGCTTTCGTGAGCTACAGCTCACTTCATCGGATGCATACCGTGGAAACTGCAGCAGACTTTATATACACACAGAGAATATGAAACAATACCTCCTCCCACCCCACTGTCCTGCTGGTAATAGCTTATCTAAAGTGATCATCAGGTTGGGCCATTTCCAGCACAAATCCAGGTTTTCTCACCCTCCACCCCCCCACACAAATTCACTCTCCTGCTGGTGCTAGCCCATCCAAAGTGACAACTCTTTACACAATGTGCATGATAATCAAGTTGGGCCATTTCCTGCACAAATCCAGGTTCTCTCACCCCCTCACCCCCCTCCCAAAAACCACACACACAAACTCACTCTCCTGCTGGTAATAGCTCATCCAAACTGACCACTCTCCAAGTTTAAATCCAAGTTAAACCAGAACATCGGGGGGGGGGGGGGTAGGAAAAAACAAGGGGAAATAGGCTACCTTGCATAATGACTTAGCCACTCCCAGTCTCTATTTAAGACTAAATTAATAGTATCCAATTTGCAAATGAATTCCAATTCAGCAGTTTCTCGCTGGAGTCTGGATTTGAAGTTTTTTTGTTTTAAGATAACGACCTTCATGTCTGTGATTGCGTGACCAGAGAGATTGAAGTGTTCTCCGACTGGTTTATGAATGTTATAATTCTTGACATCTGATTTGTGTCCATTTATTCTTTTACCTAGAGACTGTCCAGTTTGACCAATGTAAATGGCAGAGGGGCATTGCTGGCACATGATGGCATATATCACATTGGTGGATGTGCAGGTGAACGAGCCTCTGATAGTGTGGCTGATGTTATTAGGCCCTGTGATGGTGTCCCCTGAATAGATATGTGGGCACAATTGGCAACGGGCTTTGTTGCAAGGATAAGTTCCTGGGTTAGTGGTTCTGTTGTGTGGTATGTGGTTGTTGGTGAGCATTTGCTTCAGGCTTCTCACTTCGTTAGCAGGGACTTCCTTCAGTTTAGACCAAATTTAGGTTAATCCATTACATGCAAATTGGGTGTTGATTCACTTTTATTACTGAGAGCTGATAAACTGAGTCAGGACACCAAGGTTATAGTAAATATTGTTTGTCTTAAAGAAGTGATTCCTACACCATTTCAGGCTTCATCTTGATTCCTTATGCCACATTTGGGCCTAAGCAGGTTCAGAGGAATGCAGGTTATTTTGACACAGGTGGACCCAATTCTTTTGCATTTTTTAAAGCATCAAAATACAGCAAAATGTACTGTGTACCATATAGCCACCAAGCTGTGGAAGCTCAGCATAGCTCGGTGTGCAAAGCCCTTCTTTAGACCACTGAATGGTTATTTTTATTTGGCTTTTCAGCCTTTGCAGCAGAAAATATACTGGCCTCGTACAGTTATGGGTTAACTCTTTCTGTTGACCAGGGTTGAGACATCAAAGTTAAATCTCCAGCTGCCCCACATCCCTCATCTCACAGAATTTCATTGTTCAGTTCTACCAGTGCAATTTAGATTTTCGTTTCTCTAAACTATGGAGCTGATTCCAACTTCACTTACAGAAGTTTTATGGCTCCTGGGTGACATCCTGGCCCCATGTAATGAGGTTAGTGACAAAACTCCCATTAACTTCAATGGGTCCAGGATTTCACCTTCTGATGTCAGTGGAATCACTCCTGATTTACACTGGGGTAACTGATATCAAACTCAGGAGCTATGAGTTTTGTTCAGCATCATGCACATCTGACAGGATGGTACTGTTTGGGTAATATAATAAATAATAAAAACACCAAACAAACTGTAGAATATACAATATATTTCTACATGAAACTTCCACATTTCCTATTTGCAAGCATCATTGCTAAGAATAACAGTGTATCTTAAATTTAAATGCATTATAGTAACCAACATGTGCTACTATGCAGATTATGGAAGGAAAATACTATTGTCAATGTCAAATTAACTATTTGATTTTCTAAAGTCAGGTCCTCACCGCCCTTTTGTGGATTCCAATGCAATGTCTATCCTGCCTTTTTAAGATGGAAACCCAATGACAGGCTGAAATAAAATATCACTGCTGTTAAACAAGGAGTTCTGTCTGCCGCCAGGATAATGTAAAAAGAAAAGGAGTACTTGTGGCACCTTAGAGACTAACCAATTTATTTGAGCATGAGCTTTCGTGAGCTACAGCTCACTTCATCAGATGCATACAGTGGTGATTGATCCTGCATCACTTACGTCAATGAGAGTTTGCCTATAGAGTTCAGTGAAGGCAGGTTCAGTGCATTAGCTCTTGTTCTTGTACTTTTGCTGCCATCTACAGGCCAATCTGGGAAAACATCACGGGTGGGGACACAGTTTTATAATTTCTCTCTCTCCCCCTGTGCAACCACTTTGGCACCAGCCATCAGACTTTGGGCTCTATCCTATTTGATTCTATTACATACGTGTTTTGCATATATATTAAACTGCACAGCTGAACACCACTGAAAAGGGTGCTCTTTTAAAACTTGTTCTAAGTCAAACAATTCTCACATGTACAGGTATAGAATCGAGTGTTGTTATAGCTGCGTTGGTCTTAGGATATTAGAGAGACAAGGTTTGTGAGGTAATATCTCTTATTGGACCAACTTCTGGTGGTGAGAGAGACAAGCTTTCGAGCTTACACAGAGCTCGTCTTCAGGTCCGGGAAACGTACTGAGAGTGTCACAGCTAAATACAAGGTGGAACAGATTGTTTAATATCAGTAGTTAACACATATTTCAAGGGAAAGCCAAACAAGATTTGGTGAAAGGGCATTTGTAGATTTGAAGCCTCACTTTTTGATGCATGGGGCAAGTTGCCAGTTTTGACTGGAGATAGGAGCCACCTTTTGAGGGAGATGGGGAAATGGGCTAAACTGAGGGGGTGGAGACAGGCTGAACTGGAGGGGTTGGTGACAGGCTGAACTGAGGGGGGCTTTCTGCACTGGGATGAACTGATGGGGGTTCAGGGACAAGCTGAACTGGGTCGGGTGGGGGGGCTTTGAACTGGAAGGCAGCAAAATTACCTTACCCAAAAAATGTGGGAGTGAGCAATACAAATTGCCGCTGACACTCACCAGGGATGGGCAGGGGGAGTTCAAAAATCAAAAGACAAGCCAACCCTCACCCCCAATATAATCTTTTAAAACAATTCTTGTGATTTTGGGGGGTCTGACTCATAGTTTTTGAGTTGGCAGTACCACAAAACGCACAGGGAGACTTGATTTGTGATGGCAAATGATTCATGTTTGGGACCAGATCCATGACTACAACAGTATTGGAGGTCTCATCTCTGTTCTGCCATCATCTTGCAATTGAGGGGAGGATGGGAGGAACAGACACTGCACTCAACCTTATGGTAAATAACAAGGAAGATTCCCTCTTTTACTGACTTTAATAAGGAAAGAAGTGATCTGGTCCTGGGACATTAAACTTGGAAACATGCATACTCTGTATGCATAGTACACATTTCATAACCTTCGTAAGCATTACTTCCTGAAAGAAAAGAATGATATGTATCACATTTAATAATACATTTAAAATATACTATTAAGGTTGTCGTACAAGCTACTAGGAAATTCAGAGTTAAAGAACTGGGCTTTTTCCCCCCCCAATATCACGAATGAAGTAAGAACAGACTCATGTTATTCTTAAAATACTTTCTTGTGTCCCACCCAACATTGTTAAATGCTAGCTTTTATATTGAATCGTTCACATACACAGATGTATTCTGGGCTAATAATGTGACAAAATATCCTGCATTAATCTATTACCTCTCCAGATGTGTGTGTAAGGACAGAAAAATGAATTTTGCATTAGCACTGAAGAGGGAAGTTCCAGACCCACTGGCTCCTATTGAGGAATTATTTGGAACTGGCCCAGCTGGCTTTTCTCCAGGCTTACAGGAATCAGTTACATGACTTTACTTTTGCCTCCTTATAATTTATTACCTGATATTTTTTAGACCTCAACAGGACTCGTTGTGACTGACTGAATATCTATTCTATGTCTTCAGGGAAAAGAAGCTACTAATGCCATTCTTAAACAGTCAGGCTTGTGGGCTGTGACGTGTGGAGGTGAAGCAGAGGTTAAAAGTTAAATTCAGAGTGACCCAACAGCTCATCTAGTTTGATCATGCGTTTCGTTGTAGGAAACTAGAGTTCATGTGCAATTTAGAGTGAAATGTCATCATTAGACATGAGCCAGATCAGTTCAGAAAATTTCAAGCAGAATACTTCTGAATATATGGGTTTTGGCAGGATCAAGGATGGTATATGATCAAACGAGAAGTAAATGCTATTAGGAATGAGGATTTTCTTGAAGCAGAGACACACAAGTGACATCATAGTGGGGGAAAGTGCCAATTAGCAGTTGCTGTGATGAAATACCATATTTTACAGATGACAGGTTTCAGAGTAACAGCCGTGTTAGTCTGTATTTGCAAAAAGAAAAGGAGGACTTGTGGCACCTTAGAGACTAACCAATTTATTTGAACATAAGCTTTCGTGAGGTACAGCTCACTTCATCGGATGCATATTGTGGAAAGTACAGAAGATGTTTTTATACACACAAACCATGAAAAAATGGGTGATTATCACTACAGAAGGTTTTCTCTCCCCCCACCCCACTCTCCTGCTGGTAATAGCTTATGTAAAGTGATCACTCTCCTTACAATGTGTATGATAATCAAGGTGGGCCTTACCAGCACAAATCCAGGTTTTCTCCCCCCCCAACACTCCCCCCCCAAAAAAAACCACTCTCCTGTTGGTAATAATTTATCTAATTGATAGAGCCAGAACAGTTCCCAGAAGTCACCTACTACAGGACAGGCCTAACAAAGAAAATAACAGAACGCCACTAGCCGTCACCTTCAGACCCCAACTAAAACCCCTTCAACGCATTATCAAGGATCTACAACCTATCCTGAAGGATGACCCAACACTCTCACAAATCTTGGGAGACAGGCCAGTCCTTGCCTACAGACAGCCCCCCAATCTGAAGCGAATACTCACCAGCAACTACATACCACACAACAGAACCACTAACCCAGGAACCTATCCTTGAACAAAGCCCATTGCCAACTGTGCCCACATATCTATTCAGGGGACACCATCACAGGACCTAATAACATCAGCCACACTATCAGAGGCTCATTCACCTGCACATCTACCAATGTGATATATGCCATCATGTGCCAGCAATGCCCCTCTGCCATGTACATTGGTCAAACTGGACAGTCTCTAGGTAAAAGAATAAATGGACACAAATCAGATGTCAAGAATTATAACATTCCTAAACCAGTCGGAGAACACTTCAATCTCTCTGGTCACGCGATTACAGACATGAAAGTTCCGATATTACAACAGAAAAACTTCAAAACCAGACTCCAGCGAGAGACTGCTGAATTGGAATTCATTTGCAAATTGGATACATTTAACTTAGGCTTGAATAGAGACTGGGAGTGGCTAAGTCATTATGCAAGGTAACCTATTTCCCCTTGTTTTTTCCTACCCCTGCCCCTTCCTCAGACGTTCTTGTTAAACCCTGGATTTGTGCTGGAAATGGCCCACCTTGATTATCATACACATTGTAAGGAGAGTGATCACTTTACATAAGCCATTACCAGCAGGAGAGTGGGGTGGGGGGAGAGAAAACCTTTTGAAGTGATAATCACCCATTTTTTCATGGTACAAACAGCCAGGGTTAGGTACTACAATCTTATCCATCCCTAATGTATACAGAGATGTATTAGGAGGACATTGACAAGTATTTTTGTCTGTTGCGTTTTCCTGTCCTCAGAATTCGAAATAAAACCCCAAACACCATTTCTTACAAAAGAGCTTTCATTAGTGTTGGTTCGCGTAATGCAGAAATGCTATTACTTCAAGTGCAGTCATACAATACTCTTTTATTGCTTTTGCTACCACAAGTCCAACAGAGATACCTGCAAGCAAATCTCACCGACATCAGGCTCAATTTCATAGGTATACGAGGGCAGAATTTGGCCTTCAGATATGTAAGGACAATGGTACAGTAGAAAAAATGGGGACTAAGTAACTCTTAGGATGCTAAAGGGTTTTCTACAGAATCTATTCACTTTCATCCACTGATAAGACCTACAAATGCAGGAAATTAAAGAAAATCCTGGGATTTCTTGAAATTCATTTCATTTCAGTTGCTTTAACATTAAAATGAATGTTGACATTCTAACAAGAATAAGTCCGTTTTTACAATAATTAAAGTAGGAACTCTCTCCTCCCCCCCATTTAATAACCTGAATTTGACAACTTGATTTCAGTTTTCAACATAAAATTGTACAATATTAATCTCTCAGTTCATTAAAATCTTAACTTGCTTAATTATCAATGGAAATTTAATGAGTCTTTGTACTCTCCATATTTCTATATGAATACAAAGTAGAAACCTCTTAATTGGAAACGTCTTTGGTCTGGAAAAAGGCAAGCACTGAAGACCATAAGGTTAATGGAGAAATGCCTTTTCTAGCCATTAGTAACTATTCCATTTTTCTTCCTTAGAAATAGCCATATAAATGCTACTATTAAAGTCAACACAGTTGTTATTGAGATCCAAACACAGATTCCACATTTTCATGTTAATATTCGAATTTGCCTCGAGTAATTTTTGACATCTCAAAATTAGAGTCGGGGACCCATCACATTTCATTATGCAGAGTTTTGGACTGTGAAATGCAGCGCTGCATCCAGAGGAAGAGCAGGAGAGGGCACAAAGCTAACTAGGCTTTGGGATGCAGGCATTGCCTCACGCAAAGACACCCAGTTTCAGCATAGATTTTATTGGAACGAGGCTCTCACCATCCTGAAATGCCGAGGCTGAGGAGGGCGCCAGTTATCCACCAGGGGGCGAGCAGGTTCCGTCTCAGCATTGATGGAAAGGCTACGGAGCTTTGCCATCTGCAAAGAAGCAAAATAACAATGTCAATATGGAATTCACTTGGGGCAAATCCAGGTCTAGACCAACCACTGTGGCTGGGTCAAGCATTGGGGGTTGGAGAGGAATCTTCCTACGAAGTCACAGGAGCCACTGCATGGAGTCTACTGCAGCCTAATAGCTGGAATAGACTCTGGGGATCCTTACATAGTAGACCTGTGTAACAGTGGATTCTCCATCTCTGCCTGGCTTCTTCTCTGGCCTACTCATGACCTGTCAACACAAACCCTCAACCTAGGGAGCTCTGTCATGTGCAAGTGGTAGCAGCCGTTGCCTGCCTCTTGCACTGTGGAACTTCAATAAAATTTCTTTGCTGTGACATTACTTTCCATGATCAAGGAGGCAAGGGAAAGAGTATATAGGGTGACATGAGCCATGATGATACCTTGTCTTCAGAATAGTTAGCTTATATCTTCAAAGAGCAATGAAAAGTGCATCAACTGTATTATGAATCTGAAACACAATAACAAATCCATCATGAACTTGAAGGCTCGCTGTATATTGCATTCACAGTTTCATAGAGTTTAAGGCCAGAAGAGAGCACTAGATCATCTTGTCTCACCTCCTGTACACACAGGCCATTAAATTTTACCCAGATCCCACTATAAAAACCCAAAGACTCTAGTTAGACTAAAGCATTTCAGTCTTCTAGACACTAAACTGTGTGCCACCAGCAGACAACAGGAGAGATCAAGATGTCACCAGTGCTGCTGCAATGGCAAGGAGTTGATTAGACGAAATAGGCACAGATGATCCCTTCAGGAAAATCATATTCTGTGCTTCAAAAGAAGGCAAACTCTTCCCCCCATTCCCCAAAGTCCCTGCCAATCTGATCTGGGGGGGAAATTCTTTCCCAGCCACAAATGTGGTGTTCAGTATGACCCTGGGCATGTGAGCTAGGCACACCAGCCAGACATCTAGAAAAAGGACTCCCTGTACCATCTCAGATCACTGGTCCACCATGTTTACAGCTTCAATAAGCTGAATAATTTCAGCTCCTTAAGGCTCACAACATAAGGCTTTTTTTCCAGCCCCAGGATCAATCAGAATGTAAGAACAGCTTATGTGGCTGGAGAGGAAGTAAGAGTGGTTTACCAAGGTTTTGTTGCTAGAACTTGTAGTAAAGGAATGTAAAAACCGATTACCTACCTTTCCTAACTGTTGTTCTTCAAGATGTGTTGCTCATGTCCATTCCAAGTAGGTGTGCGCACGCCACATGCACAGTCGTTGGAAGGTTTTTTCCTTTAGTGGTACCCATCGGATCGGCTGTGGAGCTCCCAGAATGGCACTTTCATGGCCATGTATATAGGTCCCTGATGACCTGATGCCTCTTCAGTTCCTTCTTGCTGGATATTCTGACAGAAGGGAAGGCGGGTCGGTCTTGGAATGGACATGAGCAACATGTCTCAAAGAACAACAGATAGGAAAGCTGGGTAACCGTTTTTTCTTCTTCGAGTGATTGCTCATGTTGATTCCAAGTAGGTGACTCCCAAGCAGTCCCCTGGAGGAGGGGTCGGAGTTCACAGATTTGTAGACTGCAGGACCACTCTGCCAAACATGGCATTGTCTCTAGCCTGAGGTGTAATGGCATAGTGCAATGTAAAAGTGTGAATAGACAACCACGTCGCCGCCCTGCAGATGTCCTGAACAGGGACCTGCACCAGGAATGCTGCAGATGAAGCTTGTGCTCTTGTGGAGTATGCTGTTAACGCTGGGGCTGGTATCTTTCATAGGTGGTAGCACACCTTGATATAGGTTGTAATCCATGAAGAGATCCTTTGGGAAACTGGAAGACCTTTCACTCACTCAGCAATGGCGACGAAGAGCTGTGTCGACTTTCTAAATGGCTTTGTCCGCTCAACGTAAAAAGTTAATGCCCGTCTGACATCCAGGGAATGGAGCATGCGTTCCCTGCCATTAGCATGCAGCTTAGGGCTAAACACTGGAAGAAAGATGTCCTGATTTGTGTGAAATTGTGAAACCACCTTCTGGAGGAACGCTGGGTGCAGCCACAACTGTACCTTATCCTTATAAAACACAGTGTAAGGGGGCTTGGACGTCAGGGTCTTGCGCTCAGACACCTTCCTGGACGATGTTATAGCCACTAGAAATGCCACCTTCCAAGAAAGGTAAAGTAGAGAGCACACTGCTACGGGCTTGAAGGGCGGGCCCATCAGCCTTGAGAGCACCAGGTTAAGATCCCATGGGGGAATCAGCTGCCGTACCTGATGGTACAGCCTGTCTAGCCCCTTGAGGAAGCGGCCAACCATAGCGTTAGCAAATACTGACCACCCAGCTGAGCCCGGATGGAAAAATGAAATAGTGGCCAGGTGCACCTTGATTGAAGACACTGCCAGACCTTGCTGTTGCAGGTAAAGTCGATAGTCTAGGATGAAGGGAACCAATGACTGTAATGGAGGAGTGCCCTTTTGTAGGGACCAAACAGAGAATCTCTTCCACTTAGCCAGATAAGCGGCACAAGTGCAGGGTTTCCTACTGCCAAGGAGGACCTCCCTAATCGGGACCGAACACATGAGCTCTAACGAGTTCAGCCATGGAGTTTCCATGCTGTGAGGTGGAGAGACTTCAGGTTGGGATGCTGAAGGTGGCCGTGGTCCTGTGTGATCAAGTCCAGAACCATAGTCATGGCTACAGGCATGTCCACCAATAGGTCTAACAGCATGGTGAACCAGTGCTGATGGGGCCACATTGGCACTATGAGGATCAAGGATGCTTTCTCCCATTGAACCTTGAGGAGGACCTTATGTGCCAGCAGAAAAGGCAGAAACGAGTACAGCAGGCTCCCCTTCCATGAGAGGAGCCCATGTGTGAGCAAGTCCAGGCCATGATTCAGGAAAAAGCACAATTGCTGACACTTCCTGTTGCTTTGTGTCACAAACAGGTCTATCTGGGGAGATCCCAACCTTTGGAAGATGTTGATCGCCATGTCTGGGAGGAGAGACCACTCGTGGCTGTGAAAAGACCTGTTGAGGTGATCGGCCAGTTCGTTTTGTGAGCCTGAAAGATACAATGCCTCCAAATATATCAAATGGGCAATGAAGAAGGCTTCTTCCACTACCCTGTTTGTTTATATAGAACATCGCGGTGGTATTGTCTGTCAGTATTGTCTGTGAGTACATCTGCCCCGGAGATGGGTTTGAAATGTCTGGCAAGTGAGGCGCACCGCACGCAGCTCCCTCATGTTGATGTCCAGTGAAATTTCTGCCTGGGACTATAGACCTTGAGTCCTGAGTCCACCTAGGTGCGCTTCCTATCCCATTGCCAATGCATCCGTGACTAGTGATAGCGAGGGCTGAGGGTTGGAAAAAGGTATTCCCACACAGACTGTCCGTGGATTGAGCCACCACCGGAGGGCCTCAAGGACCTGAGGAGTGATCGTGACCAGTCTAAGTGGTCTTGGTTTGGCCTGTACACTCGGGCTAGCCACGCCTGAAGGGGACGGAGCCATCATGTGCCCTAGCAGTTTTAGGCAATTTCTCGCGGTCGTCATAGGGAACCTTTTGAGATCCTCTATGATGGCGCTCATGGCAAGGAAACGAGATTCTGGAAGAAAGGCCCTGGCCTGAGTGGAGTCAAAGGATAAAATTCATTGGTACCTTCTTGGAGTGGGAATTATGGTTGACTTCGCCATGTTCAGGATGAGGCCACGCTGGAGAAATGTTGTGTGCAGCAGGCTCACGTGGTCCTCCACTTGGGTCAGAGAGTGGCCCTTGATTAGCCAGCCATCCAGATATCGGAATACCTGCACCTGCTGCTTCTGTAGGAAGGCTGCCACAACTGCCATGCACTTGGTGAACACCCGAGGGACTACCGAGAGGCCAAAGGGAAGGACCATGAACTGATAGTGAGTACTGTTGACCAGGAATCGTAGGAACCGTCTGTGGGACAACATTAAGGACACGTGGAAGTACACATCCTTCAAGTCAAGGGCAACGTACCAGTCCCCTGGATGCAGAGAGGGAATGATGGAAGCCAGGGAGACCATGTGGAATTTCAACTTCTTCATGAATTTGTTGAGGTTTCGCAGGTCTAAAATAGGCCTTAGCCCACCCTTGGCCTTGGGGATTAGGAAATAACAGGAGTAGAGCCCCCTACCCCTGAACTCCAGAGGAACCTCCTCTACTGCCCTGAGTTGCAGGAGCACTTGCACCTCCTGCACTAGAAGTTGCTCATGAGAAGGGTCCCTGAAGAGGAACAGGTATGGTGGGTCGGAAGACAGGAGGGAACAGAACTGGAGAGAACATCCCAATTCTACTGTGCTCAAGACCCATCAGTCTGCGATTATTTGAGACCAGGCATGGTAGAAATTGGATAGATGATCTGCAAAAGGAGGGGAAGGAGCCGGGGTTTGAACTGGTGCTCCGTCCTCAGGCGTACCTTCAAAAGTTCAGTTTTGAGGCTGAGTGCTATTTTGCTGCCCCCTGGCCCTGACCTGAGGAGTACTGAGATGGGCGCCTCCTGTTACTCCTGCCCCACTTCCTATTATAGTCCTGCCTGGGAGGAGCAGAGTAGAAGCGAGAAATGGGCTGAGGTTTGAACAGCTTCCTTTGCGGGGCCAGCATGTGAATCTCCAGGGATTTAAGGGTTGCCCGCGAGTCTTTAAGGCTATGGAGCCTTGAGTCTGTCTGTTCTGAAAAGCGTCCCGAAGAGTCAAAGGGTAGGTCCTGGATACTATTCTGGACCCCATGAGGGAGCCCCAAGACCTGAAGCCATGAGCTGCGTCTCACAGCTATAGCAGTAGCCATCTTGTGAGTGGCCAGATCTGCTGAGTCCAAGGCAACCTGTAGGGAGGTTCCTGAGACCACCTTGCCCTCCTCCAGGACTGTCCCAAACTCAGAGTGGGAGTCCTCTGGAAGCAATCCCTGGAACTTGGAGAAGGTGTTCCAGGAATTGTAGCAATAATGGCTGAGAACCGCCTGCTGGTTTGATATGCGAAGCTGGA